TACTTCCCCGGAGCCTTGAAAACAGGCGCACCGGTGCCAGCCCGCCGGGAGGCAGCCCCCAGCCTTTGCCCTTCTCCCTCCCCGGAGGGGGAGCTCAGTAATGCAGACCTCCTTCTGCAAGGACCATCGCTGAAGCAGCGCAGGGTCGGGCAGCTTTTTTTTTGTTTGTTTGTTTGTTTTTTCTCTCCCCTTCCCTTCCCCCTCCCCTTTTTTGTTCCCGTTTAAAAAAAAAAAAAGAAGTTTGGGTTTAAGTGTTACCTTAAAAGTCCTTCGTGTGCGTCCCCCTTCCAGCGGCTTTGAAGCAAGGTAAGGCTTGTCAAAGGGGAAAGGCAGCTCCACGCAGGAGAGGGCACACAGTCCTCCGAGGGACGGAAAAACGCGTGTCCCCGAAGGGTTCCCGACGCCACCTGCTGTTCTTTTCTCCCTGAGCCTGATGAGGACTGTCTTGCATTTCCAGCACCTAAGGTCTGCGATGCCTGTAAAAACAAAAATGAAGATGACAATGACATTGTGGAAAACCTCTGCAAAAATGACTTTGGTAAGTGGAAGTACAGTCCCTCGATTAAAGCTTGAGGGCTTAGGGTCTTATCCTGACGCGATCCTGTACAACTCCCAGTGGAGTCAGCGAGAGATGTGTCTGAAAAAAGGCAGAGCTTTGTCTTAGCAGCAGACTGACCCGTCCATCCTGTCGTGTTTGACTGTTACAGTTATGAAATGCAACATCCCAGCTCAGATAAAAAGTTGTCCTTTTATAGTCTTTTTCTGTTTGCTGCTTTTCTGCAAATAAACGTTTTGAGGTGGTACTCGTTTATGTGAATGGGGCAGGCAAGTCAAATAGAAAGTAAAATGAAAAAGAATCTTTCATACCGAGTATTGCCTGGGGAGCAGTACAGCAAAGCTTCATTTAGACGTATGAGAAAGCACCGCATGACCGATCTCAACGCATAATAAGAAAGAAAGACCTTCTCTGCAGCTTAAGAGTGAAGCTCTATATATCATTTGACACAGAAGGTAATGCATGGACAATTGGGGATATAAACTTAATGTGAAAATCCAGGGTTAGAGGAGGACAAGAAAGCCCCTTGAACACAGACAACTGAACGGCCCATTATCCACACATTAGCATTTCAAGAGAAAAGGGGAATAAGGAGGGGAATCCTTTTATAATAGGTCAATGTTTATACCTGGAGACAGATTTGTAGTGTAAATATCTACAATAATCCAAAAGCTTTTCTTACCAAAGAGGGGGGGGGGGGAACCTGAAACGGTGACTGTGAGACATTATTGCTAAAACAACCAATAGCTTTGGCTTGGCAAACTGCACTCAGATAAATCCTCCTAAAACTAAACATGACCCATAGATTCTTAAAGATTCCTGCATCCCCCTCCTAGTTATTTTACCAAATCGAATGCAGCTGTTGGACCAGTTTGCCCTCCATGGGATCTATTCTTTCAAAAAAACAATGCTTGTGAAATATCATTTCCTTACAGGTTTGCCTAAAATCCTCTCCAGCCTAATAAATTAAGTTTAAAAGTTTTCAGCCACAGCAGAGATCAGATTTCAGATTAGGTTTAGGTACTTGCCTCCCCAACTCCCTTCAAACGCTAGAGTTTCAGGAAGACTCTCCTATCACAGCAGAAAAACAGAGCGCCTGCTTAACACAGCCAACCTGCCCTCTCTGTGTTTGCAAACAGGAAAAACAGTGGAGAAAATATTAATTTAGAAAGGAAGGGAAAAGGGGGGGGAGGGGCAGCAGAGAAAAGAGATCCCAAACTACTCAACCCTAAGGTTGATTCAAACTGGAATGACTTGCATGCCCTTTGTGGCTTTAGAAATGGAGCCACCTGCTGCCTCTTCTGTCAGCCCTGACAGTTTAATTAGCAATAGAGCACCTCCCTCCCCAGGTCCTCTTTATGTGCACTAATGGGAAAAAACCTCTCAATCTCTCTCCCTCATCCCACTTCCCCCTCCCCTCACTCTATTAGCCTTGAAGATAAAAGTGAAGGAGATTGCCTACATCAATGGGGATACCAAGATCACCCCTGAAACAAAGAGCAAAACCATCTACAAGCTGAACGGGCTGACGGAAAGGGATCTGAGGAAGATCGTACTCTGGCTCAAAGGCGGCCTCCAGTGTACCTGCGACGAGATGAACGACATCAACGTCCCCTACTTGGTGATGGGGCAAAAGCAAGCTGGGGAACTGGTGATCACCTCGCTGAAGCGGTGGCAGAAAGGGCAGCGGGCTTTTAAGCGGTTCTCACGCAGCATCCGCAAACTGCAGTGTTAGTCACTCCTGCTCCGGCCACATCCAGCAGCCGCCTCCATCCTGAGCTCTCCAGCCCCCTACGCTCCCTTACTTTGGCCCCTCTGAGCCTCGGGTGCAGTGGGCGTGAGACACAGGGACCGTTCCCTGAGAGAGGAGGAAGGCCTCCATTATTGTACATAGGTTGAAGTGTAATAAAAAATCATGACTATTTTTGGGAAGTATTAAAGTATCTTGCTTAAAGCTCTTTTTTTCTCTTTTTGAATGCAAGTGTGACTTTGGTCAGAAGTTTTTCCCTCTTCATTTTGATAATGCTGGTCAATTTATATTGCTACTTCTCTGTATACATGCATGTTTGTTGTGCAAAAGTAGGAGATGCAAAGAAAGACAGCCACATGTGTGACTGAACTGTCACAGTGGATATGACTTTTTCACTGATGTGAAATGGCTTGCCATCTATATTAACACTATAAAGGTCATGTTACAACTCTTGCATGTGATACATAGGCACCCATAAGAGCGTATTAACCATTCTCACATCTTTTTTTCCAGAAGTCTGAGCCCTTCCCTCTTAGAGAAATGAACAAGTTTTGGAGCTGGTTGATCTGAACGCAACTTTTGTCTTTTAATTTTGCAAATTAAACCATCTGTAGCCTAATTGTAATATACCTAGTGGTTAACCTGAAAGAGTTGTAAAATATTGCTTTAATTAACCTTGTAAATACTCCAGATAAATGTTATATTCTTGTATATAAACTTTACATTATAGTTTACCTATTGTCTTGGTCTGTTTTGGGGGGGATCTATTTTAATCTGTTTTGGCAGGACAGGGAAAAAATCATCCAATTGGGTTTTGTCATGGCAAAGCAAAACTTGTCCTTCCACTGCAAATGGCCAACAGAGAAATACGTAAAGGTTCTAATGCTGCAATCAGAAAAACAATAATGGACTTTTCCCCAAAAATCAGTAGGCAACCTCAAAGATCTGCTGAAGAGACACAGTACTGGGGTTCAGCCAGCTCATTTTAATACATTTTCTGTTGCCCTCTTCCAGATGAAGAGTTTTCTGTTGTTCCTTTGTTTGAAAGCCTGCAGTTTCATCTCATCTTCTCAGAAGATTTTGCTCTCAGCTGGTGCAGAATTGCAATGACCATTTGCTTAAAAATCAAATCTATCTACACATTCATTACATTTGAAATAGATATATTAATGAGTGCAAGAGTAGACAGAAGAATCTAATATGCAGCTATCCAACAATTCAGAATTATATTTAAATGGCAAAACAAGGCATGTCTTGTGTGTGTATATCATCGCTACTCTTAACTTAGAAAGAAAATAAAAGATCATTTGCACTACCTAACAATGTAACTAGAGGAATGTTTTTCAGCATTTTTCTTAAAAATGTTTTCTGAGGAAGGACATTGCCTGTTACAATTTTATTGTACTTGTCTTGCAAAAATACAAATGTAGTCTCGCTTTCCAGTGCTGGCACACAGAAAATTCCTCTTACCTTCACTGAGAGGATGAGAAGCCCTGCATTTCCAAGAACAAAATTTTATGTTGACTGGTTACAGACAAAATGCAAATTGAGCACTACATTTTAAAATGAAAAATCTTTTTAATTTCATACCTTTAGTGTTAATTTTTCCTCCATCAGAATACAAAGTTATAATTTTAAGATGCACCATAGTAACTTTGTTTTAGAAAAAAGACTCGTTGGCCCTCTCCCAAAGTCTTCATGTACTCACTGTACCCGATACAGTCATTTGTAGGACTGTTGTGAAGAAGCAACACATGATCAGACCTCATCAGTGTCCCTAACTAACAAACAAAAAGCCCCGCTCAAAACTAGCTCTTAATTATTTTGTGAAATTGTATTTTTATTTAAAGGCCAATACATTGCTGAAATGGACCCAGCTGCTCTGGAAACAGATTTGAGTCTTTCCTTGCCATGGCATAATTATTTGAATAGCAGCACTGTGTCCATCATGTTACAGAGCCATGAGCATCCAGATGTCACACAGCTCTACCCATCTCGCTCAGCATATAATGTAACACCTGACACTGGACAGGCCTCGGGCTGAGAGGGAACACGCTCATGGATAAAATGCAGCTGGTTGAAGATGAGCCTGCAGGAAATGAGACTGTGCTGAGTGGCAGACCAAAGAACTTCGAAGAGCTAGTAGCTGCAATGCAGTCTCCAAAGACAAACCGCCAGGGCTGTTCCGCTCAGTCAGCCTGGAAGTGCACTTTGCAGATATTAAGTCCTCCTACAGCAACAATAAAATTATCTTAATTGGGCTGTCCTTGAAGGCAGCAGTACTGACACTGATGAGCACAGACAGCTCACAAGTTACTCACTCTGTGGTTATACTAAGGCCAAAACTACCTAACAAATTTTTGCTAAATCAGTTAGATGTATGAAAAGACATGATGTGTGACCAACATCGCTCTGTCATAAAATACGTTTCTCTTCCTCCATCACAAAGTAAACACTGTTACACTAGCAAAATCATGCTCCTGTCAGGATAAATTCAGGAGAATAAGAATAAACAAGGCAGACAAACATTCAATTTTACTAGTATAATCAGTGTCCAGGATTAGGAGCATTCTGCCAGTACCATATACCTCTACAGATAAAGCCTTCCAAATAGAGCCCTGGACTGAACCATTGGGACTATCCACCCTCAGGGCGAATCGGCAGTGGCAGAACAACCTTTCAGATAAATAAACAGAATTTAGGCAAACGTGAAAAGTAATCTGATCAATAGGACAGACGTTCTCCCAGTTTAGTTACATAACATGTTATTCTCATGGCATCACATTAAAAGAGAGGTAATACCCACCGCACCATAGAGAGGGACTGTCCGTGTTTGTGTTGTACACTGTTTCCGCAGGTGTTTAAAACAGACATTGCAAACTATTCAACCGCAAATTGGGATTTTAAAGTCACAGCTTGCAGAAACTTTATCTCCCAGATGCTGGTAAAGAAGTAAACATACAACATTTTCACATTTTCAACCTTTGTCTAATTTGCTCAACAATAATTGAAAATCTTTTGATTGTGTCAGGCAAAGAGACAACTACACGTGCAACAAGAAGTTATGCAGATCTGTTGCCTCTGACCAGTGTTTCACATTTATTTCAGAGTAACTTCATTACCTGGTGTGGTGTGGAGTGGTGTGGTATTGTATGTTCCTAGCAGAAAAATTTTTGCAATTGATGAAAAATGGCAACCCACTGTTGTATTTTTCAGACACTGTTTGTCTTCTTGTAATTGAAAAAACATTGTTAGGCAGCCAATTATGTAGCTCCCATTGTATTTGCTTTCATAAAAACTATAAAAGCAATTGACTACAATGGATTAGTTTAAGAACAATAATAATGATACTTGACATTTATACAGAAGTTTCCATTTAAGTTTCTCAAACTGCTTTCACAAAAAATAAGCATTAATATCCCTATTTCACAGATCAGGAAGATGAGGCACACTGAGGTGACATAACTCACTCAGAACCACCCCGCAAGTCCTTTACAGTCATGAAGAGAAGTACATTTTCTGACTCCAACTTTTATGCTCTAATCACTAGACCACAGCAATCAGAGTGATTTAACTTGGTATATAATCAAGGCATCATAGTAACCAAGACTCCCTGCAACTTCTTTTCCCTCCCCCGTCAAATGTGTAAAAAAATGACTGTTCAAATTCAAATTTAAAATCCATTTGGCAATATTCCTTGCAGTCTTTTCCTTTCTTCCTTATTTATCATTCTCTCTATCCCTTAATTGCTTCTTAATCCCATTCCTTTCTCCCTCACTTCTCATTCACTTCCAACACCCACGGAGAAGCCACTCAGTCTCTCTCTCCTGCCTTTTCATACACCCACTTTCTCCCTCAGTATGTTTTATTAAAGAACTCCTGTAGTGTAAGTGCACACAAGCCACAAAAATCTTATTGGCCAGCTTAAGACAGAAGACGACCCATCCGGGAAAAGCAGTAAAATACATTTTAATTTAATTAATCATTTTCTGCAAGGACAGAAGGGAAGTTAGATGCGACAAGGACCTCCATGGGCACATGCTGGTCACTGCAGACACAGACACTATTCCTGTTCTGCAATAGGAAAATATAAAGATAGATAAAGAACAGCAAGATAAAGTACATCTTCCCTTGCACAGCCAGTTGTCCTGCACATCTCTCTGCCCATTGTTATACCCCTACACTCCCCCGCCTGGGCCATGGTGCCTCCCTCTCAACCCTCTCTACTAGACGCTTGCAGATACCTTTGCTACTTCTCTTCAGTCATCGAGGGCGCAGGCTCGAGCAGAGCCATCATGACACAGGAACAGACCACCTTATCATCCTCAGGCACCAGCTGGAGCGAGAGTGCTCTCCTTGCAGCTGGCAGGGCAGCTTCATTGCTGCTTCTGCTGCCACTCTCACCAGACCTACCAGCTGTGTGAGCACTTGTGGTGCACCCGTGGTTGGCAATGCCAGAAAAAAGCTGATGGACTCATTGCTACCAGAGCAGTAGGAGGCCTCCCTCAGGTCAGGTTGCCAAGGCTTTTGTTACTGGAGCCAGAAGCTCTTATTTCTAGGGTTCAGAGATATGCCTGTATGATTTATCTAGAAGTTGCCTTCTTATCAGCAGATGTAGATCCAGTACAGCCTGACTGTCTGATGAAACAAGCACAGCAATGGATATTGTTTGCCTCTGCATGAAGAGGAGAGTGCAAGATCTGCACATCATAGGAATCCAAGACCTCAGGCTGTTTTACAAACATGAATGAGCTCATGCTATATCCCTTCAGAGTGAGCTTAATAGGTTAACATTTTCCAAATGCATCAAACCCACTTTAGGGTGAGCTGTGGGCTCCTAAATCACCTAGATGCCTTGGAAAATATTAGTCGCTATCCCCCACTTTGCAGGCACAGAGTTAAAGCCAGTTGGCCGAGGTCAGCCAGCAAGCTTGTCACCCAGCCAGGAGGAACACCTCAGCAATCAGCCAGCCAGCCCATCGCTCTCGCGACTAATCAAAATGACTAACAAACACACAAAGCTGAAGAGCAAAGCAGCTGATGTAGCAAACTTCAAAAGCAATTACTGTACACACAGAAAAGCTGTCCCACAAGGAAGCGCAGTACAGGTTAGGAAGTATGCTAAATGTCTTCCAGAGTAGACACAAAAAAAGAGCATATATGGCATTTAAAACCCATGATATGGCAACAATATCAATGCAGCTCTTTAAAAATCCAAATGATTCAGATTATACTTTCAGAAAAATTTTCAGCCCATAAAGGTGGTGCTAAAACTACGGAATATTTTCTGTTTGGATACAACAGGTTGCCATTAGAGTCACAGCCTGCTAAAGCACAACTCACAGACTTAGGAATGACTTGAAAAGGTAGCAGCAACACTAATTTAAGCACAAACTCTTTCAACTTTTTTGGTCTTTGTATTCAGAGCTTAACCCTCGCAATGTCACCATTAAACATTAAACTTTCCATAAGGAGCCGCTATGGAAGGACAACCTAGAATTTTCCATTGATACCTGCTTTTATCAGGCAAGAGATAACTAAATCCTTCCTAGACATTTTCCCTGCATTGTTAGTTTGTTTCAGATTGCTAACATTGTCTAATTGCCTTTTTTGTTATGTGAATCTTAAACCATGCACAACAGTGAATCCCAGTTGGTTACACACTGAGACAAGTGCTTTGGTGGCTGGAGGACTCACATTACCAAGCACACACAAAACTATCAATTATTTCAGT